TCGTGACTCCAAATAAGCCTGTTATAACGAACGCATCATACAATCAATACTCTATGCACATGATTTGTGCTTTTGGGTCAACATTACATCTTGTCAAAGAAACAACTGACAAGCAATTATATGAAGAAATTGAGAAAATTATTAAAATGCGAAATAAATCAGTCCTAAGTAGTTCAATAGTTAAAAAACTTGAAGTAATTTTACAGTCGGATTATTCAACAATTGTATCCAAGATAATAGCAGAGACAGAAGTTGAAGACAATGAAATAACAGAAGATGCTAGGTTCCTTTTTTTCATTAGAAACACTCTATTAGACTTCACTGCAACATTCAAGTTTTTGACACGGAAGGTTATAAATAGGAGTATGTCTGAAAGAACATACATTGTAGAGTGTATTTCCCCAATTCTTCGAGCTTTTAGAAATTCTTTTCCTGATATAGAATATGAATGGATAGAAAAAGTAGTTAGATCAATAAAAGGTGCAAATAACATTTTTTCATGTAATATGAAACCCCGAAAAACGGATTTGTTAATTTTGCGATTATCAGACGCGACCGAAATTTTAGATATTGAAGTTTCTGGGCCACCATTTAATTCTACTAAAAAACACACTGTAGGGGATGCAAAAAAGCTTCTTTTGTTATCTGTTTGCAGTTTATGCAAAATACTTGCCAACAATTTTGATTGTTTGATTGAAGATGCAAAGCAAGTTAGGACATATTGCATTCAAGCAATTGGCGATAGGCTCACGTTATTTGCTACTTCTCTCATTGACAAAAAGAAATATTTGGCTATTGAATTAGCCTCGTGCATAATACCTTTTTCATTTGACGCTATCTCATGCTATGCAAGAATTTTTAACTTTTTTGCAATAATCCGAAACGAATTTGTTAAGCAAGAAAAAATACAAAAAAAGATTCGTTCATTTATTCCTTTAGCTGATAATAATAATGAAGATTTACGAGAGTGGGTGCATCAACCCGATGCTGATTTAACAATTGTAACTGAAGATGATATAGATGAACTCTTCTTGTGAGGAAGGCTTTATTTTATGCCGAAGAAATAATTTTAGAATATATTCTGATCACATCTAAAAAGTTTTATCTGCTGTGTAAGATGGTTAGATTAAAAATAAATGTCAAGTGCTTTTAATAAAAAAAGATGCTCCCTTTTCCTAACATGTGAACAAAACTTTTAGGTCGGGTTAGAGTAGTGGCCTTAGTATAGAAAGTTCATTGTATTGTATTAATAAAACATTTCTTCAAGATACAACCTTTTTGGTAATCAATATTTCACTATGTTCGGAAACACGGAGACACAATGTTGCATCTCGGAATTTTGATGTAACTTACAATGCAACTTACAAGCAATTTTTATATGTTTACTTAGTCAAAAATTTCAAAATCATGTAAGTTTGATATGTAAGTTATAATTTAGGTTTGCAATCTTAGTCGAGATGCCAAAAGCATTATTATTCTATAGTAGATTCGAAGCTTTGCTTTGTCTGAAAAAGATTTATTATATTTTTTGTTGTCTCAAATAAAGCACTCTGGGATTTTATTGTTTTTGTAGTGATATCAAATATATACTAACTTGTGTATGATCGAGGATTTATATCTTCGCAATAAAGAATTGAATACACTGGCGATCATAAGTAATGCAACAAAAAAAAATTTTTGGTTTGATCGTATTATCTCACGCAATTTTGGGAGT